CAGCCTACAGGACAAAAGCCATGGCAGCTTTCTTAGTTCCTACATGGACAGTTATGTTCACAATATGATTTTACGTAAGTCTGAATGACATCATCAGTTTCCTGCCTCAACAGTCTCCCCTGATTTGTTTTTGTTTGTATGAGCCGTGTGGTCATGGTGAAATTTAGCGGCAGATCTGATGCATCTGCCAGTGATGATACCTGTCAAATGGCATGCAGACTCCACCTACTTGGCGCATCGTATGTGTACGCTGGCATGGTCATAGAACGGATCCACACAGAGGGGAGAACAGACTCACGAGTTAGCATTAGCATAGTGAACAGCGTGATTCTGGGCTGTCGCAGACAACAACTGATACTTCTGGGAGAAACATGGTGAAATCTTTTGCCTTTAATCTAAAACAGTGGTCCTAAATCACAAACACAAACATGGAGGCTGCACCAAAGTTCTGATGTGGTCTTGTCTCTTGGACTTTGTTGGGAGCCGCGTTTTGAATGAGCTGGAGACAAGAACTGGCCTTTTGGCTAAATCCTGAATACAGGGAATTACAGTAATCTGAACATGACGAGATTAAAGCATGGATGACTTTTTTGAGGTTCGCTTGAGATAATAAATGTTTGACTTTGACAATGTTTCTAATTTGAAGACAGTAAAGCTCGTATCACACAATCTTGGTAATTTGTATGTTGAAACAGAGCTCAGAGTCAAACATGACAACCAAATTGCGGGCAGAATGTTTTACGTTACAGGAGAGGTTCTTTCTTAAGTCAGAGGTCAGGTTTTGGGGCGGAGGAAATTCTGTGGCATCCAAATATCAGAGAGACAGGCCATTCCATGACAGAAACTGTCAGGGTCACTGCCAGTGGAACATAAAGTTGAATGTCATCAGTATAACTGTGGAAACTGATATTATTCTTACAGACTATCTGAAGTTTTTATGTGCAAAAGACAAAGAACTCTAGCTGAGATCCAGCTTCTGAGACAAAATTGCATCAACTGCCAAGCTTTGTTATTGTGGGGTGATATTACAACATATTTTACAGCCTAGTGCTGAGTTTCACTAAGTCAATATTATTGATATTCATCTAATCTGCTGTCAGTTTCCAGGAACACGGAGTCCACTGTTGACCACACCAGATAGCTGAGGAGTGTTTCCTCACTGAAGGAGCATCTCAGTGGCTGTTTCCTCACACACACACTGTTTATATGTCAGAGAGGGAAGACGATGTCCACACAGTCAACACAGTGCAACGTTAATTCATTCAAAGACTCACAATCCATCACATTCCATCTCACTCCTCATCCCTCACGTGGCTGAAAATTCCTGTAGGAAATAAATATCTAATGTGGGTTTTATCTGATAAAAACACTGGAAGATCTACCAGCAGTATTCACCATCTTCCCCTCAGTGTGTTTGTTCCTGCAGCTGCTGTAAAGTGGTTTTAATTGAGCTCTGAATCAAAACAGAATTAAATAAGATGCATTGATGCCCCGCTCTGCTTTATTGCCCCAGCTGCCACAGATGACCTACAATATACAGGGAAACAATAAAGTTCTACACCACCCACATCCGTACACACGTAAATGTTTATTCAAGTCACGTCAGTTCTGGACGAGATAAAACTAACACTGTTTGTTTAACGGGGGTTATAAAGCTGGACGGCTCCTCCATGTGAGGGCCAAAACAGTGTGTAGCTTTGGAGCAGCAATATAAATAAAGGTTTAGGAGAGGGGATTTGAGAGAGTCTGCGTTAACAGCCTTAAGCAGGAAACTAGTCTTGAGAGGGTAAGTAGTGTGCAGTGGATAATGCTGTGAGAGCTGCTGTTGAGTGGAGGAGCAATGAAAATGTCTGATTCATATGGATGACTGTAGTGTTTTTGCTGCCAGAGAGCACATCATGATGTAGATGCAGGTAGAGCGATGTGTGCTGTGTGCTGTGTATCTTGCGAGGTTCACTTACCCTGCAGGACAAACTAAATGTCAGTTTAATTTGCAAAGGCACATTTATGATTTAATGAGAACTGATGGAAAATTGATCAAAGGTCTTGGAGGGTAAGAGATTAAGATTTGCTTCTTTCCTCCGTCACATCACGTCTTTATCATCTTGATTTCTCTGCGTTATCTCAGTGCTACATTCAGTTTATTGGGGTTTCTTTGACTGGAAAAGTTTGAATAGAATAGAATAGAATAGAATAGAATAGATCTTTATTGTCCACCAGGGGTGAACATTTGTCTTTGGCTCACCAGACACAAGAGACAACACAACAAAAAGCAGACAAATAGCCACTACGACAAACATACAAGGTCATTACAAAACACTTAACACATTAAATCACCTCACGTTGGCGTCTGTCTGTGGTCTAAAACTCATCAGTCACCTTGTTGAGTTAAGGATGCTGATGGCACTTGGGATAAAGGACTTCCTAAATACATTTTCAGTTGTCAGAGGGACTCCACAGCGTCTCCCAGAGCTCAAGAGCTCAAACTGGCTGAGGAGAGGATGAGAGCTATCTGTTAAAACACACTCACTTTCTTCCTTGTCCTCTCCGTAAAGAGTTGGATCAAAGGCTTTTGTGGCTTACCAACTATTTTATTTGCCATTTTACAGTCCCAGAGAGTTTATTCTTAGATGTACAGTTAAGATGACCCAACCAGGCAGGGAGGTGAAAAGTTAAAACTCTCTCAACCATAGTTTTGTCCTAATTCTAAAATCTGCTGACTGCAGCTCAGTTCAAACTGTTTTAGAACGCTGCAGAAAAAAGTATCAGTGATGTGACCTGGCTGAAGCTGCAAACTACAACGGAAGCACAGAGAGTCGTTGACTAGAGATGATACGCCGTCTCATGGTGGTCACTTCCTGTCAACTGGCAGGTTTTTACAACATTGCAGAATGGTGCATTGCCAGTAGTTTCCCGTTTCAACTCATGTCGTTGCAAATCTTTGTTCTAAACTGGGCCACACTGAGGCCACACTGAGGCCATTAAGTTTTCAAAGAAAACAGAGTTGCTTTGAGCATCTCTTGAAAATATACTCAGTATTTCCAGAAGAGCTCATGTGTGAGTCCAGAACTGTACTAAGGTATTTCAAGTTCTCCAACATGTTGGCCATCAAGTGAAACTGGTTCTGTCTTCAGATCTTGTTTTGTGCAAGTAATCAATTCTTTGGTCCACATTCATTTCTAACATGCCCAAAGTGTGGGCCAGGTAGGCAGCTTCACCTGATGGGTCTGCTTTCTGTAAAAGACCAATAAGGCCATGTCATCAGCATATTTAAACAATCTTAAAATATTTCTCATTCATCATAACTTCCTTGGTAAACAGAGAGAATAGAACAGGGGAGAAACACATCCGTGTGTGCAGCCTGTGCTCACAGTGAGCACGTCTGACATGCTCCCCCCTGAATTTTCCCTCTGTTTGCAGGAATAGAGATCATGGTTCCTGCAGGAATGAGACGCAGTTTATTTCCAAAAACTGGTGAACTGTTGTGGTCACAGTTCATGAGCTACAAATACATCTGCGTTCTGCAGGTTGTGACTTTTATTTGATTCAGTGACATCCCAGATCAGGATATGATGCCATATTTTAACAGCTTCTTTGTATATTGTCACACATTGGTGGACTGTCCTTACAGGGGGCAAAGACTGCCAACATTATATCTGCGATTTGTGCTGTTTACAGCTGCTCAAGTCAATTAACTTGGGAAAAACAAAGGTCACTTTAAATCCTGAAAATAGTGGGATGTAAAGGGGAGAATCAAAAAGAAGACAAACTCAGTGAGAAACAGCAACAGATGTGGATCAAACACCTCCGAGTCAGCTGATGCTAATGCTAAAGCGTTGTGTTAAACAGGCCTCAGCTTGGATGTAGTCACAATGTGCTGTGACAGCTTCTCTGTGTTTTTATACATGACCCAGATTTTTAACGTCTCACTGGACCTCAGGGAATGGTTGACCCAGTGGGTAGAAAACAGCAGCTAAAGTTAGCTAACGTTTCCTAGCAATGTTAGCCTGGCAGCAGTGCATCTGTGTACAGAGCTGAAATATAAAAGACATTTACTCACTCAGCCAAAAACAAGACAGCAGGCTTCAGTCGTCGACCCAACCGCACACTAAAAAGTTACAGCTCACTAGACTCCTGCACGGTTTCATCAGCTCGCCGTGTAACGTCAGTTATGTTAGGAGGTCTGGAGGTCCAGGTCATTTGTAATGACATTTGTGTCACAGGACTAATCCCTCAAGTTGTGGAGAAAATCACTTTGCTTTGTTTTGTATGAATCACATCCAACATGAGTTTTCATTTTCTGATGCTACCTGCTGCCTGCAGGATGATCCAACACTTTAATGTAGACACTTTTCTCTATTTCCAGCTCACACAGTATATGGATTTATCATTTCTGAATTGTACTCATCATAACAGTCATGTGACTGCAAACAAGCTAGCAATATGCTGAGGGGGGTGACAGAGAGGAAAAGAGAATGACCGTGTGTGTGTGTGTGTGTGTGTGTGTGTGTTTTTACTCCTGATGTACTTATGTATATGTCATAGCAGTCATTTTTATTCAATGGTAAAAAATAAACAAAAATCAGAAGTAAAAATTCTCAGTGTAAAGAGAAGCGTCACTGTCAGGCAGGTGTGCCTCCTTTCTGGGGAATTTCTGTGCTGACAGATGAGTTAGATGAAGGTGAGAAAGATGAAGAAAAGAGGATAAAAAGCACAGAAAGAAGAAAAGAATAGAGCACAAAAAGTAAAGGGAAAAATAAAGTATATCTTCCTGAAATGCACTGGGAGAAAGGTTAAGACTGTCACAAAAAGAAAATGAGCAGGGAAGGTACCAATATTTCAGACTTGTACTCTGTATATCTCTGGGGAGAGGCATAAACAGTTTCATGTGAAAAAAACAAAAGTCAAACCCTGCCTCCAAAAACAATTTGGGTCAATGTTCTGCCATACAAACTGAAATGCCAAAATTTAATCTCTTCTTTTTCTTTTTCCTTTGCAAGCCTGTCACCATGATTTGGAAATTGATTCATTTTAGTGTTCTCCTCCTCGGAGCACTCACATCCCCAACTTCATCTTCGCCCACCACCACCGCTAACACTGACGGAGGACCCTGTCACATCGACAACTCCGGCCGCTCCGCAGACTGTCTGGGAAGACAGCTCGACAGTGTCCCGTGGAGACAATTTCCATCCACACTGGAGAACATAGATCTCTCCTACAATAAACTTCAAGCTGTTCACGCTGACGACTTCCTCCGCCTCCCTCGGCTTCATGTTCTTAAGCTGCAGTACAATAACATTTCACACATTGACAATGATGCCTTTAAAAACAACACGCTGCTCGAGTATCTTAACATCTTCAATAACTCCCTGCAGGAAATTCCTGCCACTGCTCTGACTCCTCTTTTTAATCTGAAAGAGCTCTACATGTCCAATAACCTTTACAGACATGCCACTTTGGATGAGAGCTTCTCAAGATTTGGCAAACTCCAGGTTCTGTCTATGGGGGGCCCTCTGGTGGCGGGTCTGAGGAAAGCTGATTTTCAGGCCCTGAAGAACATCCAGTTACAAGGCTTTGCTATCAAATGTTCCTCCAATCTGAGTTATTACGAGCCCGGAAGTTTAAAGGTCATCCAGACAAAGCAGATGGGCTTTGATGTGGCCATAGATCAACAGCCAAACGCTCTCCCTCACATGCTACGTGACCTCGCCAGCAAGACCTTTAGCGTCATCCAGTTCCGCAACCTCTTTGAGTTCATGTACTACATGGGAAAAGAGGACATTTTCCAGGGTTTAAAAGACATCACAGCCCATCAGCTCATCTTTCACAGAGGAAAATACAATGAGAATCTCATGAGGATGGCTTTAGTGAACTTACAAGTCGCCCCGATCAAAAGGTTGAGACTTCAGTACATCGACTTCGCCCGGTCACCCACATTTGTTGATAGCGGAGCAGGTTCCAGCATCACAGAGCTCGCACTGGATAAGTTGGATCTTTGGTGAGTATCTTCTCATTATAAAACATCATGTGCCAGTGTGAACCATAATTCATACAATGTGAAATTTAGCTTGTCATAATGTCCAACGTGCTCTCATCCTAATTCCTCACATATCACCACTTTGTCAGTGCCGTTCACGTCTTCATATGATGTGCTAGGTCATCATGTCCTCACTGTGACCTCGTCACATGTCCACGTTTGGTCATGGACTTTCCACGTCCACATATGACGTCCAAGGTACCCTGGGTGTGTTGGTTGTTGACGTTCTGGGACGCCGTGTCAACTTCAGCCTGTTACATGCATTGTCTGTTTTCAAAATACACTTCTGTTTTCACAGGAAATGTACAGTTTGCATACAGTCTCTTTCAAAATAAAAGCACTACGTCAGTACAGCACCACGAATTGACATTTTTGACACTCACAAGTAGTTGGGTTTAGAAAAAGAACAGGGTGTGGCTTTACAATCTTATGGGAAGCAAACACCAGCCTCGGTGATAAAAGTTGGTGGTTGTTGGACCCATCTGCAACTTAAGTTACCTCCCCAAACACCACTGGGCGCTGTGAAACAATAGCAGAGACCGTCTGTGTGTCGTGTTGACATGAAAGATCAGCATTTTTCGTCGGCTTCCGACACAGGAAGTCACTTACCAAGTGCCGGTGTTTGACAACTTTGGAGTAAGACCAAATTGCCTTGGTATCCTCCTGCGTTGTTGACATTCCGGGATGCTATGTCGATTTACGCCTGTTACATGCATTGTATCTTTTCAAAATACACCTCCATTTTCACAGGAAATGTTCAGTTTCTGCCTGTTAGATGCATGTAGTCTTTTTCAGAATAAACATACAGCGTTGGTAAAGCTACGTTTATTTCATACTTCATCAAAAGCATGCGGTTATGTTCAGATAAACACATCATGATTTTGCTCAACATTCATATGGGAAGTGAACAGCAGGCTCCTGGTTGAAAGTCCAAGGTTTATTGGAACTATCCACTGCCCCTCCTGCATGTCCAATAGGGACTTTCCAGCTCCTGAAATGAGGTTGTCACTGGCAGGGTTTCAGACTGACGCAGCCTGGTGGTGTATCATACAGCCTGGAATGGTGGCTTTTGGCGCCGGTGTCTGATGTTGAAACCACCTGTAATCTCCACATGTTATCCACCATTTCTCCCATTCTGCATGTAAACAAACTGACTGGCATGTCTCAAAATGGAGGCAAGCCCCTGGCCGTTTGATTGACACCTCACTGAGCCAATAGGAGCTTCCAGTGCTGTTGTTATGGTCTCAATAGCCAACCAGAGCCTGAGCTGAAGGAACACATTTCCTGTAGTTTGGAGGTATTTAAAGAGTCCACCTCACCCGAGGATTATGGGTCTTATTGTCAATGACACTTGGAAGCTCCACAGCAGTTTTTAACCCCTTATTGTCACCACAGACTGTTATACATGTACAGATATGATAAACTAACGGCTCCTTAAAACAGTCTCTTGTCAATGTAGGTTTTCTAGAAGTGTTTTATACACAATAAGCTCTTAAAAAGTCATTTCTGTCTGTGTTGATTAGTTTTTCACTTATATTCACACATTCAGTTCATTGTTTTACCCTCTTTTTTTGAAAAGGACAAAACCTCAGAAAAACACATGTATATATCATATTGTTATCTACTTTAAATTCTGACTATGTGAGGCTTCACGATATGGTCCCATTGTGTTTTCCAGCTAAAGCCTCCCAGCTCAGCGCAGCAGCTTTGTTCAAGAAAATTTTCAGGCAAAGAATTAAAAAATATATACATTTCAGTGTGTTGAAACTTTTATAATTCAATGCACTTACAGTGATTCTGACTGTTGGGGGGAAAAACTTCAAAGTGTTATCTCGTACATGTAGTAAAAATGGAATAAGACCAGCTTAAGGTTACTTTGGGTTTGACTTGGATAGATGTTTTGAATTTTACAGTATACATATTTGGTTTAACCAACTGCACAAAAATAATTAATTCAGAACAAGCTTTAGAAGCCAATGTCAAATAAAAGTCAAGTTGCAGGCTACGAAACAAGCTTCCTTGTAACTATAGTGCAAAGGACATTTGACCTTGATCTGGACTTCACACAGAGCCCTTGTCCCTGAGCTGTTTAACTCTGAGGACTGACTGTTTGCTTTTCATGTGCACATACAGAGCATTACAAATCTCTATTTCTTGCAGGTATATCAGCAATCCTGACGTGCTGAGATTCGACTGGCGCTTCACCTGGTTCAACAAGATTAAGGAACTGTCTATTCAGCATGTCTACTTCAACTCGGTGCCTTGTGATGCCTGGGTGGAGATGGCAGGTGTAGAGTCTCTAGATGTCTCCAACAACCGGCTACAGAACGAGTACATCTTCAACCAGCGGTGCGATTACAGGGGCGCCATGCCAAATCTTCACACCTTCAAAATGAGCACCAATGACTTGACCAGCTTAAAAGACTTGTCGTCTCTAACTAGGGAGTTCCAGCAGCTGCAGGTGTTGGATTTTAGCAACAACAAACTGGGATCTGCTGAAACTAGTCAGGGCTGCGTTTGGCAGAAAAATATCACTCGGCTCATCGCTCACCACAATGAGTTTGTAAGTGTAGCCCTGCATTGTCTGCCCACCACAGTGCACTACCTGGACCTGTCCTACTGCAACCTGGACCAGCTGGACATGACGTACTTTGAGAAAGCCACCAACCTGAAGGAGCTCCTGCTGAGTGGGAATAAAATCAAGTTCATCCCATCTAAGTGGACGAGTCCATCCCTGCAGTCACTGGCTTTGGATGGAAATTCATTTGGTCTGATTAGCAAAGCTTCCTTCCAGGACATGCCTCAGCTGTCCTACCTGATGGCAGGGAACAATCCCTACCACTGCACTTGTGAGCTCCATGCTTTCATCGAGGACACGATCTCAAAGGGGAAGGTGAACCTCACAGACTGGCCTCAGAACTACAGGTGTTACCACCCAGAGGCCCTGCTCAACACTGTCGTATCCAAATTCCTCCCAGGTCAGGTGGCGTGTGATATCAGACTGGTGATCATCATCTGTGTCGCAACCACCACAGCTGTGATCTTGATACTGATGCTGATTTGCTATATTTTTGACCTCCCGTGGTACACTAAAGCCACCTATCAGATCATCAGGGCCAAGTACAGAGCTCACAAGGAGAAGGCGACAGGGGAACTGGGGGCTTTTGCTTATCATGCCTTCATATCCTACAGCCACTGTGATGCAGACTGGGTGAGGGACCAGCTCCTGCCCTGTTTGGAGAACAACAGGAACCCCTATCGTCTGTGTATTCATGAGAGGGACTTCATGCCAGGAAGGTGGATCATCGATAACATCATTGAAAACATCGAAAACAGTCGAAAGGTAAAAAAAAAAAGTTTTGATTTAGATTTTTGTTTTCAACATGCAAAATTCATAGAAATTAAAAATAAAATCAAGAAAACAAAAACAGAATACTCAACAGACATATCCAGTGAACAACATGAGGATTTCGAGTCCGAAAAGGAAGAAGATGAATACTTAAACCCATTCTTTAATATTTTATCAACAAAAGTATTATCACCTACAAATATGGGGCCGTACACATGTCACATCTGTAACCACCTGGAAAACGCAAGGTCAGACACTGGGTGCCACTTTTGTGTCTTGTCTGTATCGGCTTTCAAGGGCATTGCAGTAGGTTGCGTCACAGGTTGCAACCTAAACAACACAAAAGTGGACAAGGTCCAAAACCTGATCACATTTGATGGTTGAAACTTGTTTATTTATGATTAATAACATTTGTAGTTTGATATGGCAACAAATTTGATCAATGTTAGCAACAGTAACAAGCTAAGATGTTGTTAATATGACAGTACTCGTTTGAGGACATTGGGACTTCGTTATTGTTGAAAGTGTTTAGCTTTTATACTTATCAGGTCCTGCTGATCCCAAATAGCTATAAGAAAATAAACTTTATACCAAACAAAAATTCAAGTCTCAGGAGGATAGGACGGTCCAAGTCGAATACAACAACACAGAATCCAACACGACCCATAACTTTTCATATATGTGGAAGAAAATTGTAATTCAGGTTTTCTTTGTCTCCATTCTCAGGTAATATTTGTCCTCTCCCGGCACTTTGTTAACAGCGAGTGGTGCAACTATGAGCTGTACTTTGCTCAGCAGAGAGCGATGGGAAAGACCTTCAGTGACGTCATCCTCGTGGTGAAGGAGCCCATTGATCCCAGCTCTTTGCCCAGTAAGTACTGCAAGCTCAAGAAGATGCTGAGCACCAAGACGTACCTGGAGTGGCCCCAGCAGGCCAACCAGCAGGCGTTTTTCTGGGAGCAGCTGAGAAGTGTCCTGGGCAAGCCTGCAGCAACCCAAAGGGGGAGGTTCAGTGTGAAGAGCAGAACCTCATCTGTGGGAGGTGTTTCTGTGATTGGGCCCCCTGTGGAGGACAGGAGGCCAGAGGTGGGGGACACTAATGCAGACAAAGAAGCAGCACTCGAGAACAAAATCATTAAGAGGGATAACGATGAGCTGTTGAACCAGAGACAAATCCCTATGGTGGCATTTTGACCAAAAGGTTAGGAAAAAAAAGATCCATTTCTTCAGTATTGCCTCAAAGTCTGAACTCAGTTAACCTTTTGTGTGTGGGTTATGCCAAAGCTGGGAGCAAAAGCCAACGTCTCATTATGATGACAAAACATGATCCCCCGCCTGCCTGTGGCATTCTGTCATGTTATCCCCAAAGGGGCGAGCTGATGCCCTCTGCTCCGCTCTCCCTCTGAGCGTCTCAGGCTGGGTGCCCAGCTGACAGCCGCTGAAAGGCCAGAAACTCAACGGCTCAAATGAGATCTCCCATGTTGCACTCTGGATAACAAGCGAGGTGCCAGGAAGATGTGGTGACAAGGGCCACATTGTGAAAGGGCCGTGCTCTGTTACACGCTCGGCCCTCAGAGATATCAGATCATAAGTGTTCCAACTCTGATGTTCCAGAGCCGAGTCAAAGGCCACACGGGATATACGATACCAACACTTCACAGGAATACAATGTGTTTGGGGAATTGGAAAGATAAAATCTAAATCAACAGCGAACTTTGGATTCAGCACTCAATGCTAGCTCTTGAGTATTCACACTTTTTCTTTTTCTTTTATTTAACCAGAAGGGTCCTACTGAGGAACAACATCTCCTCTGCCAGCAAGTCCTGGTCAAGATGGGCAGCAAATAAAACGCTTACAAATACAAGAACAAACATACAAAACACAGCAGACACAAAACATACAGGAATCAAGGGCTTTAACAGGAATCATGGAAAACGGTGATGCTTGATCAAAGCAATGATTTTGTTCCTTAAACGTGCAATATGTAATTTTCTGCTGCTAGGGGTCTCAAACCAAAACAATAACAGAAGACGGAGTTGGATGACGTCACGAAGTAGCGTGGGATCATGGGAGTTGTAGTCATATAACAGATACAGATCTTAGTTAGCTGTACAGTTAGCGATGGCTTCTCCCTCTCTGCTGCTCTCTCTTGCTCAGTGCGTCTTATGTTTAGCTATTCCTCTGCCTCTTTTATAAATGCAGTTCATTTACCAGCATCAGCTCAGCATTATAGAAACCTATCGTTAGATGTTGTGGTTAGCCAGCCTCCGCTCCACACCGCACCGCTCTGCAGCGGAGGCCGCTGGCCAGAGCACAGGTGCCCCGGCGGGCAGCAGTGCTTGCATTACACTGATGGAAATGGTTAATATTCTGATAACATCAGCCAGATGTTTGCTTACCTGTCTAGTAGAACACATGCAAGGTCAGCGTCGAATCACGAAACTCTCTCCATCTCGGAAAGGCCACACCACTATTTATCCTTGATTTAGCTCTCTTCTTATCCCAAATTCATCTGGGATCGCTTCGTTGACCCGTACGTTTCCATTTTACCAGCTTGTTTACCAGGACAGCTTTGGTGTCAGAAGGTGCAGCAACCGTCAGTGCATAATCATGATCCATGAAGAGTTAGCTTGGGAACTGCCCATTGTTCCGACCATATTAAACCCATTGTTCTAAAGTCCATTCCGAAATCATCATGATGCCCTGTGGTTAAGGTCTGGTTAGGTTTAGGCACAAAAACCACTTGGTTAGGGTCAGGAAAAGATCATGGTATGGGTTAAAATGAAAAAGAAAGTGACAAACACATAAGCCGTGAGCCTGCTCCGCCTCAAGCCTTTCCCAGCTGACCCAGAGCTGGTCGCGGCGCACCATCAAGGCAGAAATATGCCCGCCTGGAGCCGTTCAGCACCACGGACCGTCGGACTAATGGGATGTCGGACCAATGACATGGACCCAGTTAGCTTACCCTAGCAACAGTGGAAGTGTGGAAAAACTACATATTATACCTTTAAAAAGGTGCAGGGTGTGCATGGTGTGAAAAGGGCCTTCATTTTATAGTTGTAGTTTACTGATGTATGAACAGAGGTTACATAAAACCAGAGTGAGCGTCCTCTACTGACCAATCAGACTGCAGGGTTTCTAGCTCCACCTTTTAGTACCAGATCTGTGTGCTAGGTACCCCAACAGAGGGGGGACCAAACATGGGGACGCTAAGGAACGCTTCTGTTGGGACCATCCACAACTTTTACTGTGTGGGAACAGAAACAGTGCGTACCATATTGAACTGAACTGGGGGACTTAAGTGATAGCTAGTTGGTACAACAGCAACAGTTAAAGGGACAGTTCACCCCTAAATCAAAACTACATATTTGAACTACATACTTTGACCTGTAGTGCTGTTTATCAGTCTGGATAGTTTTGGTGTGAGTTGCCGAGTGTGTGTGATATCAGCCGCAGAGATGTCTGCCTTCTCTCTGATATAATGAAACCAGATGGCACTCCAAAAATTACATTTAAAAAACTTCAGTGTCTCTCTCCAAAATTCATGACCTGGTTGTTCAAAATAATCCACAGAGCTTTTCGTGAGCAGTGAGATTTTTCTTTCTACCAAACTACACCCGCCAACTGTACCACCGCACTCATGGAAGCATGCATCTGCTCATGGATGAGAGGCTCATGCTCGTGACAGCGTGGGATGTGAACATTACATCTCACTGGAAAGACACGTAGCTGTTGAGGTTTTCAAATGTATCTTTTTGGAGCTTTGAGCAGCACAAGCCGAGCGCCATCTGGTTCCATTATACTAGAGAGAAAGGAGGACTCGAGGTACAGTCTCTCCAACACTCTGCAGTGAACACCAGAACCATCTGAGGTGATAAACAACACTGCAGGTGAGAGGAAAGTTCTATATTTTTGATTCAGGGGGAACTGTTCCTTTAAGCATACAGGTCAGAAAAAAGGAAGTTTTGAGCCAGTTGGCGTTAAAAGGCTGATCCAAAACAGAGTGGCTCTCTGTAGGTCTGCTAATGTTTCAGGCTGGCTGCCTCTGTGTTTGACTGTGTTTACATGTACAGATACATAATCCATTATTTGACTGCTGTCAGTTATCTTTCTTCACTTGTTCTGACTGAGCTGTTTGTCTTCAACCTGTGAGGTCACTGTTTTATTAGGAGGTCAGAAGCAGCTCTGTTGTGTTGCTTTGCTTTAATGATGACTTTGAGCTGAGCTCACATGTGCCATGATGTTTACTGTGGCTTGAAAACATTTGAAAAATAAAAAAAAAACAGTTTTGTGTAACAATTTAAAAACTTTTCATGTCTTGAGTTGAGTTTACAGATAAAGCCATTTGTAAGGTTTGCAGATGGCCAGTAGATGACACCACTGAACTTTTTATTTTCTTGTTGAAGTCCCACAGAGACAGACAGAGATGTGATATGTAATAAATGCATTTCCTGAATATAATATATATATAATATATAATATATATATAATATACTCTTTGACACTCATCCAGTTAGTCTCAGTTAATCAAGTCAAACGATGGGTTTCATCTTTACTTTTCTTTCAAACCAAGAATTTTAAATTTGTCCCTGATGTGCCAAAGTTTCATGTTTTCATCAATAATGTAGAAAAATGTTAAATCAGGAAACATTGCTCTGTTTAAGGAACAGGCCAGTTATGAAAGATATTTTTAAATCTCCATTTGCAGACACCATCCATCCATCCATCCATCATATTGTATATGAAATATTGTGCTGTGTGCACTTTTCTACTTGTGTGTCCCTGATGAAAAGCTAAAAGACTCTCGAGCTTTACCAGATGATGTCATACTCTTCCTCAGCTCTGTATGAAATGTACTTTGAGGTCCAGGGTTTAAATTTAAAGTTGCAGCATGCAAATATCCATAAAGCCTTTATACAGCTCACCTGGAGATACGGATGTAAATCAGCCCCGGCGGTCTGCATTCACTGAAAAGAAGATTTCAGTTTACTGGCCTGCACCTAATTTGTATTGCTACTCAAGTTCTGCTGTCATTCAAACATAATCACTCCCTTAATTGCAAATGATGTTTCAGGGAAGCATTAGTCACACCTACTAAACATAAGTGAGGCCTAATAAAATGAATACAGGCAGCACACGGGCTGAAGAAATCCCTTCTTTTTACCTGTTTCTCGTGTTATTTGTCAGCAGACAATCAGCTCTATTGGCACAGCGTGTGTGCACGTACAAGGATTTTGACAGGTTTTATCTCGCAGTGTGCGTCCACAGAAACAGACATGACAGCTAACAACATGGACAAAGCTGTACACATAAAGGCAGGGAACAGATATTATTTAATATTTTCTTGACTACAGCAAATGGGTGGATTTGTATATGCATGTCTACGTCCTCATCGTACAGCATGTAGGGTTTATATAGACGGTGCTATGTACTGTAAATCCTGTTTGTTTACAAAGCTCTTAATGGTCTGACCCCGACCTACATGGCAGACCTCCTAACTCCTTATTCTTCCCCCATGTCCCTCAGGTCAGCTGACCTGGGGCTCCTGAATGTCCCACGCTCCAGATTCAAGCTCAGGGGTGATCGTGTCTTTGCTGTGTCGGCCTCCAAACTGTGGAAGAGCATCCCAGTCCACTGACTCTTTTAAGTCGCGGCTCAAAACCTACTTTTATTCATTAGTGTTGATGTGCCTCTCCCTGATGTGTGCCTGTGTGTGATGTGTCTTTGAATGTATGTATGTGTTTATAGCGACTTAAAAAACCTACAGGTTACCAGTCATCCTGCCAGAAGACAGTGTTGCTATTGTACGTTTTCACCCCAACCTCGGGAAATGCTGCTGGTTTGTCAGTGGACCTACATCAACAACATACGATGCCCTGGGTGCCTTCCCAGATTTCAACCAACTGAAACTTCTCCCATGTGCCAAGCATGTACTGTAGGAGGAATACAGCTGCTGATGTAGGAATGTGAATGGTCCTATCTAGAACCAGTGATTGGTTTGTCCATTCTGGGCTACTGTAGAAACGTACTAGCCTGGAAATCCAGACTCAAATCTAGAAAGATTTAGAGTCTGGCCCTAACCGATACACCCTTCCTACCCAAGGGGCGGCACTAACTGAGGCATATTAAATGCCGCTGCACGCAATTGGATAGCACGATGGCCAATCAGAACAAAAAACAAGGTGACGTATTCATTGCACTAAGCCCCATGTGTTTGCCGACCCGTGGGGCTAACTGATATATTATGCTTTTGCTGTATCCCGTCGGCAAAATGGCAAAAACGTCCTTCCTGGAAGCGAAGGCTTCTCAGGCAGTCTTCTGTTCCTCTCCCAAGGAGAAAGATAAGTGTAGTTGGCTTAGCGTTTCTTCCAAAGCTAAACTGAATGGACACGGTCCTTCACCAGCTGCCATCTTGGCTGTTTACTTTTCGTCATTATGTTACGCCCACCCAGAGCCCACCTCTGTCAGATAGACTGATCTGATTGGTCCAATGGCGATTCAGCGGGCTCTGCTCGTCGGGGCCAGATCCCCGTGCAGAGCAAATTAGAATTTGCTAGGGGCGGGGCATCTGGATTTCCAGGTTAGAAACATACAGTAGCCCAGGACGAACTCCATGGTAGTAGATATATCACCAAATGGTTCATTTTGAGGTCATGAAAACATTTCAAACAATTCTTAGTTTGAGAAAAATGAGAAGTTTACCTAGGAAAGGAGAAGCATGGTGTCATTTGATTAAACAGCTGTTGCATTCATCATTTGTATTGGTGTGTATGCAGTGTCCTCACGATGACCGTCTCCTAGCGGTCAGCAAAAAGAGGACATTTGTGAGATGTAATAATCAAGGTGTTCCTCCATGTGCTCATTTCATGTCCTTATTTTGGGGGGTCACCTGTAGGTGGCCTGTTAGTGTGTATGTGATGTTCTACACAAGACTGGTTCTTCACTGACAGACACATGAAGAAGTTGTTTGTTCAGAGCAACCTGCTGTAAAGATAGTGAACACTTCCCTGTTAGTAGAGGTCTTTCTGTTGCAGTACAGAAAGACAGTAAACAGTAAACACTTCACCTGCATCATTGCAAACTGAACCAGCAGAAAGATCTTCCAAACCAGTAACTCCTGTAGCTCACATAACCTCCCTGTCTGCCTCAATGATATCAAATGCTGGATATCACTTTTTTTTTTTAAATCATTTTTATATTTATTTATTTTAATTTAACGATGACAAAACTGAGATTAAAGCTATAGGTCCTAAACATTCTACCAGCCTGGTTCACAGCAAGCCTGGTCTCCTGGTTGTTCAGTCCTACATATTTTTACTCCTTCAGGTTTACATATGGTCATACATGCTTTTATTTTATTCTGGCATGGATAAGTGTAATTCACTTCATGTTGGTATCAGCCACAGCTCCCTTCACTGACTCCAAGTGGTGCTGCCCAAATTGTATTTATTGATAACTGTGTTGTTTGCGTTTTATTTAACTGTTGTTTGTTTTGTGTTAATCTGAAAATTATTTTGTAACCTTGTTAAGGGAAGTGCTATTTATTATTATTATTATTATTATTATCATTATTGTTGTATTGGTGCTAATATATGCCCCTAATTTCTAAATGCTGGACCTTTAAGCCAAACCAGGTGGTTTTGTGCCTAAACCTAACCATACTTTATAATAATAAATTAATGTAACATATCTGTGGCTGCAAAAATATTTTTTCTGGACTGGGTTGTAGTTACTTAGCTTTTGTGTAGTGAAACTGATAACACTGATATCAGCGAGCTGGCTGCAGAGCTCTGTTCCTACATGGTCATGATGTGTGTCACAGTCACAGCTGTGTTCCTCCCGCTGTGATGAGCAAACACTGTGAGCTGTGATAAAGCCCTGTGGCTGCCTTACATGGCCCTGCGGCTCACCTGTGCAGCAGGTGATGCTGTCCGGCGGGAGGCGCTTATCTGATAGTGATTTACCTGCACGCAGGTGAGAGGAGCCCTTATAAGTGATGAGGTGAGAGCTGAGGCCACTTCCTGCAGCAGCTGTGTTCAGGTGAGTCCCTGCTTCTCTTTGTTAATGTGTGTGTGTGTGTGTGTGTGTGTGTGTGTGCAGATGGTCCACAAGCTTTGATGCTGACAGGACACACACATCTGACGGCTCAACATAAACTCTGTCAGAGGAGTTTTATTTAATTATTTGCATGTTGAGTGGCATCTGCAGGCTGTTTTTAACATTTCCAAAAATGTTCGTGCTTTAGTCTGAGTATCAGTTAATTAACAGCAGCTTTGCATTTGACATTCGAAGACTTTTAATTAGCTCCCCGATCGCAGCGGGAATAAATGATTAACGGCAATCATCGAGACTAATTAAGGGAATGTGGCGCCGCATCATTCAGAGAAGTGATGTAGCACTTGTGGCTCTCTAAGCAGAGATAGTTGACACAGGCAGGCAGGTACAGAGCAGCCCTGCATTATTAACGACAGCTATCTGTCCTCATATAGATAAGAATCAGATATTCAAATGATGAAACATGACCAACAGTGAATCCTCTGCGTGCGGGCAGCTTCTGGCTTCTGGGAGGAAATGCAAGCCTCGATCTAAATGTATTTTATGTGCAGGCTCAGGCTGCCCTGCAGGAGGTCTGTCTTTTGTCCTCATGGAGGACAGAGTTCATGGAGGTGGGAGGTGAAATGACTCAGCCCCCCTGTAGCAGCCTCTCAGGTGTCATTCCTGACCCATCCTCCACCTTTTTATTCCGCCTCAAGCTGAGTTTGACACAGACATCAGCAGCTTGATACGCTGCACATGAGGTCAGAAAATAAATAAATCAAATATAGCCGCGAGCGGCAATCTGCGGGTTCTAACCTGTTCCGCCCCAAACCAGCCACCGTGACCCTCATCTGCCGTAGTGCAAGACGTTCCCCACTCTGTCCCTGAAAGCTCCAAGCAATACATACTCTTTCCAAGTCACACATTTCTTGAAATCGGGTTTTCAGCTAGCCTACATGCTAATAACATTTGTGGTATACTTACACATAGAGACTCCATTTGAACATCAAAACATAAATTGAAATTTTACCTATTGATGCGTATTTCAAAGTTTCAATAGGTATTTTAATGTTCAAGCAATCACAGTTCCATGATCATAATTTTGGGAGAAATCTGGAGATAATAATGGATGTGTATGGGAGAGGCTGTAAAATATTCTGTAAGGCTAAAGACACAGATGTGAGTGTACTATTATGATTTTACCTAAATGAAGGTAAGTGAAAGTTCAGACAGGAAGATCATCTCTTTACGTAAGTATACCTCAAAGCCACTTCTCTGTTTTCCCACTATCCTCTTGCTCCACCCTTCTTCACATATTTCAACAAGTCACAGTCTGCCAGCCTCTCCCTGTTCTCTACCAATCCGTCATTAGCTGTCAAATTTCTCTCTCTGCTGTCATCCAGCTGTCATTTCAGCAAAACTCCCAGCCCACCTCCACCCCTGCACCACCTCCATCAAGATACAGACTGTCTTAATCTGGATCTTCAA